CTAGCCTCACTTCCAGTTATTTTTTAATTTACTTTTAATGTGATGTTTTTGAGTTTGCTGCATTCTAAAGTGGTTTTTATGTTTGTAAAGTCTAATTACTTTGATGAAGTATATTTCTGATCATATATTTAAATTATTTGAAGATGGAGTTACATGAGCAAAAATTTGGAGTTTAACAGATGATACCCACCTTGATTGCCAGTGTGTCGATTGCCTTATTACTTTGATTGAAAAAAAAAATTCTTGCCATTACGTTCTACTACATTGTAGGCCAGAAATAGAATGTGAAGGTGGATAAAAGAGTCACCATAAAGTTATTTACTGGATAATGCATTAGCTGTCCACAGTGAAGGCATTTGCAAGTCCTAAGAAAAACTGCATTATAAAGGAGAGTATTGATCAATGATTGCATAGAGCGTGAGTCTGAAGTAACTATAACAATTCAAGCAGTAGTGGGATAAGAATTTTTACATCTTGGAGCCCCATCTGTTCCCCAGATCGCCCTGTTGCTTCTGTAAGTGCATTAATACTTTCAGCAAGCTGCTTTTTTGGTTCACCTGTCATGTAAATTATTCAGTTGGTAACGAAAATTTCTTAATGCTTTTTTTTCCTTGTCCTTTGTTGTTGTTGGGATTAAATTCAAAATAAGTTGAGTATGAGCCATAGAGAAGGGTGGTATTTTATTTTGGTGTTATGGCTTTATATATGCCAACTACTTTTTGACTGAATATTTATGAGCTTTGATGATTTGCATACTTGTAGTAATATACTTCAGTTAGTTACTTGGAAACCTTTTTGTATAAAATTAATGGCTAAAAGAAAATTATGGAATATGTGTGTAGATGATATAACATTACTTGAATAGGAAGGTGCTTATTGAACCAAATACAGATGAAACAACAGTAAAACAGCAATTTGCTGGGGAGTTGGGTTGCCTTTTTTCATTCTGGATTCATTAGGTTTTATTTTCCTGTACTTTACATTTTTAAACAGTTGTAACTTTTTCAAATGACTTTATTTGAGAGGTAGTTACAGTCAGAGAGAGGGAAAAACAGGGAGAAAAGTCTTCCATCCTCTGGTTCACTCTCCAAATGACCACAGTGACCAGAGCTTGTCCGATCCGAAGCCAGGAGCCAGGAGTCTCCTCTGGGTCTCCCACGCGGGTGCAGGGGCCCAAGGACTTGGACCATCTTCTGCTTTCCCAGGCCATCAGCAAGAGGAGCAGCTGGAACATGAACTAGAGCCCATATGGGCGCCAGCGCCACAGGTGGAGGTTTAGCCCGCTGCGCACAACACCGGACCCAACAGTTGAAATTTTTTAATGATTCTGTAAACTGCAACAGGATTAACTTTTTTTAAACATTGTTTCTTGTAGTGAGTCAAATAGCTTGTAAAAGTACATGAGATGTGCAAACGACTGAAATCTTTGCTTAATGTACACTAAACTGATCTTCTGTAAAAAAAAAAAAAAAAAAAAAAAAAAAAAAAAGAAAGAAATTATCAATTCCCAACTTGACTCTCACTGGGATTAAACATGACAATAGGTCTGATCTGATTTCATCATCATTTAAAAAAAATCATCTATTATTTTTCACTTTATGTTTCTGTGTGGGAGCAAACTGTTGAAATACTTACTTAAGGTATACTAAGCTGATCTTCTGTATATTAAGATAATCGAAAATGAATCTTGATGTGAATGGAAGGGGAGAGGGAGTGGGAAAGGGGAGGGTTGTGGGTGGGAGGGACGGTATGGGGGGGGAAGCCATTGTAACACATGAGTCGTACTTTGGAAATTTATATTCATTAAATAAAAGATTAAAAAAAAAAGTACATGAGATGTATATTTAGATTTTTTCAAAATTTTATTTAGTAACTTAGAAAACTTTAATTCATTAATTTTTGCTTCAGTATGTGTTATTGTGGTTATGGATTAAAGACTGGTAATATAAAAAAATTAAGCTTACTAAATTGTTAGATATGGTTATATTTAGTATATTAACATATACTATCAGAATACACTATTACTGTTGAGCTCTGAAATTACATTTTGTTTAGTTGTTTGAGAGTTATTATCTTGTCTAAAAATGTTAGAGAGACTTCCTTTGTTTAGTTGTTTGGTGTGTTTGTGTGTGTGGCTTACTTAGTATAATAGATTCAATCTTTTTTTTAAGATTTATTTATTTATTTGAAAGGCAGAGTTACAGAGAAGCAGAGGCAGAGAGAGAGAAAGAGAGGTCTTCCATCTGTTGGTTCACTTCTCAACTGGCCACAATGGCCAGAGCTGGGCCGAACCAAAGCAGGAAGCCCAGAGCTTCCTCCAGGTATCCCACGTAGGTTTAGAGGCCCAAGGACTTGGGCCATCTTCTGGTTTTCCAGACCATACCAGAGAGCTGGATCAGAAGTGGAGCAGCCAGGACTTGAACCGGCACCCGTATGGGATGCTGACACTGCAGACAGTGGGTTTACCCACTACGCTACAGCATCAGCCACAGATTCAGTCTTTGTAACTGCTTTTCACGTTTTGGAAATTCAAGATGCTCTTCTAGCAGAAGGTGTTGTGGTGCAATGGGTTAAGCTGCCGCCTGGGACACCTATGTCCCATATTTGAGTAGGGTTTGAGTCCCAGCTCCTCTGCTCCTGATTCAGCTTCCTGCTAATGCTCCTGGGAGGCAGCAGATGATGGCCTGAGTACTCAGGCCCCTGCCACCTATGGGGGAGACCCCAATGGAGTTCCAGGCTCCTGGGTTCCATCTAGTTTAGCTCAGGCTGCTGCAGGCATTTGGAGAGTGAACTAGCTGGTGGAAGATCCATCTCTCTCTGACTCTCCCTCTCGGTTTCTCTGCCTTCCATATAAATAAATAAATCTTAAAAATAAAAAAGAGTTCTTGTAATCATGTGAAATGTTCGTCTCTTGTCTGAGATTGTGCCTATATCAATGATGGCTGTGATTTTGTTAATCTTTCGTTTTTAAATTTGGGAAAGAATTAGTTTTAGCAATAAGTGTAGTCAGCAAACAGCTTTTATTTAGTTTCTTCTAATTGTGTTGATATGTCTCTGTAACTAGGTTACAAATGTGTAGACTTGTGTGCTTAATGTCAGTGGAGCTTAGTACGACTTTTGATAATAGTAGACCGTAAGTAAGGAAAGTATGAGAATAGCCCTGTTTATTTTGCCTTCACGTGATACAGTTTTGCTTGCTCTTATAAGTCAAATTGTTGATAATAAAAAGGTTTATATAATATCAGTTTTTTTTTCTGGCCGGCGCCGCAGCTCACTAGGCTAATCCTCCGCCTTGCGGCGCCAGCACACCGGGTTCTAGTCCCGGTCGGGGCGCCGGATTCTGTCCGCTGCCCTCTTCCAGGCCAGCCCTCTGCTGTGGCCAGGGAGTGCAGTGGAGGATGGCCCAGGTGCTTGGGCCCTGCACCCCATGGGAGACCAGGAGAAGCACCTGGCTCCTGCCATCGGATAGGCGCGGTGCGCCGGCCGCAGCACGCCGGCCGCGGCAGCCATTGGAGGGTGAACCAATGGCAAAGGAAGACCTTTCTCTCTGTCTCTCTCTCTCACTGTCCACTCTGCCTGTCAAAAAAATAAATAAAAATAAAAAAAAAATCAGTGTTTTTTCTAATATCAATTTGATTTTTCTAATTTCACATTTATTTGGATTTGAGGAAATAACATGACATTTTATTGTCACATTAAATGTTGACATACTCATAGCTTTGATTGTCATCCAATGTTTAGTTGACCTTACAAATGAAAGCCTTTGTGATAATGAAGGCTTAAAAAGTTTCTTTTTAACTGCAGTGACAGACTGGATATTGGAAAGAGATCCACATGAAGAAATCCTGAAGGCATTTAAACTATTTGATGATGATGATTCAGGGAAAATCAGCTTGAGGAATTTGCGACGTGTTGCCAGAGAACTGGGTGAAAACATGAGTGATGAAGAGCTGCGAGCTATGATAGAGGAATTTGATAAGGATGGTGATGGAGAAAGTAAGTTTTGGGTAAAACATGTTTGTAGTGTCATGATGCTGTGCATCTAATACATGTTTCTGAAACTTAAAGACCTTCAAGACCCCTTGCAAGCTATCACTTATTCAGTGTATTTGTTGTTCAACCTGTAATGAGCTGTGTGCATACTCAATTTAGAGTGAAGTGGATTGTAATACCAATGACATGAGAGTCCATACTTCAGGTAGGTACTTTACTATTCTCTGAAGATGAAACATCTCTGAAATTTCAGCTTCTTAGTAAAACTTTGATGCCTCTTTCCTTAACCTGTGTGCATGTCTAAGCTCTTAGGAAGTTGCCTTGATTTTACCCTTCAGATGTTGATAGTTTATTTTTTACTTTGTCCACTGCTGCTGTCCTAGCTCAGAACCTAATTTCTTTTCAAGAATATTATGTTAGCCTTTATTTTGAGTGCCGTGTCCCATGTGCTGATTGCTACATAGTGACATAGACAGATACGGTTCCTGCCTTCCCTTTGTAGTCTCTTGTCTCCTCTCTTCCCATACTCTAGGCCAATAAGCCTCTGATTGCTACTTCTTCAGTCTATTGATTGTATAGACATCAAATCTAAAATACAGATTTGATGATGCCATTCCTGTGTGCTAACACAGAATGATTCCTCGCTGCCTCCAGCCTGAAGTTCAGAACCTTTTGTCATCTGTTCCACGTTAGTAACTAGTTTTATTTCCCACTGTATTCTACTTTAACCCTCCCTTTCCATATGTACATACTTTGACAATACTCTTGAGTATTTAGAAAAGATGCTTTGAAGCTGTGCCTTTTGTCATCTGTGCCTTTTGTCAGGGCTTTTCTTGATCTCAGAATGCACTAATTGCTGCCGTGTGTCTGCTAAAATGTTGCTCTTTGTCCCAGGTACATTTTAAATGCCATATTTTTCTCAAAATCCACCCCTAATGCCTCTGACTGTATGAATTATGAGACTTCCATTGAGGGCCCGTAGTGTATAGAGGAGCAAACTGGAAACTTTAACTTTTGGTTGCAAACCACATTTTGTTTAGAAATACAAACTGCTTTTTTACTTTCCTACTTCTGTGGATTTTAGTAATTCTATGTTTGTGAATTTTTCACTCTGCAGTTTCTAACAGCAATGAACATATTTGTTATATTTATTGAATAATAAACATGATAAGTGTGGAGTTAAAGGCAAACCAGTACTATACAGGAAAGCTGTGGTAATGATATAGAAAGGATTGTGTCCCCATCATCACAATACAGCTTTTTGGAAAAATATATGAAACATTTAAAAAAGACCAACTGGATCATTTTAAAATAATTTTAAAATTTAAATAAGTGATTTAGCAGTAACTGTTTCTTACATCTGTGTGTAGCAGAAGCGTGCATTATGTTACTTATCATGATAACTTTTGTAGATGTAGTATTATACCTTTATATGCATATTATAGATTGGTGAATAGTACATGAAGCAACAAAGCTTTGAGCAATTAATAATCTGCTGAGGTTATTACAGAGTAATGCATGGCAGAGCCGTAACTCAAACTCAGATCTCCATCATGACAACCAAGGTTTTTTTTTTCTTTAAAAAATTGTTTTCATTCTTATTTTACTTGAACGACAGACACAGATCTATCTGCTGGTTCACTCCCCAGGTGTCTGCATTAGCCAGGGCTGGACCAGGCCAAAGTCAGGAGCTGGGATCTCAGTCTCTCACACCGAGTTGTAGGGTCCTAAATACTAGAGCCCTCTAGACTGTGCATTAGCCAGAAACTGGAGTGGGAGTGGAGGAGCCAAACCAAGCACTCTGATCCTGGACATGGGCATCCTAAATGGCATCAGAACTACTGAGCCAAACACGTGCCCCAAAGAACAGGCTTTTAAATATGAAGAGTACTGTATTTGGCTATCATGTAAAATATTAACTAGGCATCCATGTTTAGGGATTTTAAAATTGCATACTATTGAAGTAGTACATTAGCAACACATTCAGCTGGCACTTTCAGTGCTAAACTTTGTTTTTTCTCCTTCAAAATCAGATGATCTCCGACGTACTTAATTTTTTTAAAAGATTTATTTTTAAATTATTTTGAAAGAGAGGCAGAGATAGAGAGAGAGAGAGAGAGAGAGAGGTCTTCCATCTACTGGTTCACTCCCCAAGTGGCCGTTACGGCTGGAGATGAGCCTATCTGAAGCCAGGAGCAGGATCTTCCTCCAGGTCTCCCACATGGGTACAGGGGCCCAAGCACTTAGGCCATCGTCCACTGCTTTCCCAGGCCATATCAGAGAGCTGGATCTGAAGTGGAGCAGGGGGGACTTGAACTGACACCAGTATGGAATGTCGGCACTGCAGGCTGGGGCCTTAACCCACTGTGCCACAGCGCTGGCCCCTGAGGCACTTAATTGACTTAATTCTCTCAAATCTTGCCAGCTTCCTGTAATAAGATCTGCCCTGTGAAATGATGGAGTAACAAGAAAACAAATGTCATATTTGCTCGAGTCAATAATTGTCTAATCAGATCCTTATTTTAACTGGGCATCATGCTGGATTTAGTAAGCTTTTAAATACATAAAACCACATGTTCAGAGGTATCACATATTCTCTTTTAATTACCTGAAAGCTCCCTGGTAGCAGTTATGTAGCTAGTTTAATTTCCTTAATCCCTACATTTTGAACTTAAGTGTTGGGTTTTTAGATATGAAACCATGGCATAGCTTCAAATACTTTTGAATGCTATTATCCTTGAAATTTTTATGTAAAACATAAAGATTACATGTTTTTTGGTCTTAGAACTTCTATATGAAGCTTAATTTGAAATTCAAGTAATTAAATTTTATAGATTAAGGAAAAGTTGTAAGTCTTTATGTAGCAAAACAGTACTTTTCATATTTTGCATATTTTAATTATGTCTCATATTATTAAAATGACATTGTTAAATCATTGTAAGGCTGTTTTCATTATTTTTTTTTAAGATTTATTTATTTGAGAAGCAGAGTTATGGAAGGCAAGAGGGAGAGACAGAGAGAGGTCTTCCATAGCAGAGAGCTGGATCAGAAGAGGAGCAGCTGGGACTTGAACCGGTGCCCTTTTGGGATGCTGGGACAACAGGTGGCGGCTTTACCCCTACGCCACAGCGCCGGCCCTAGTCAAGGGGTCTTAAGTGAGGTATGCACTGGTTAAATAGTTGAACTTTTAAAAATTAAGGATATTGAAGCCAGCGCTGTGGAGCAGTAGGTTAATCCTTTGCCTGTGGCACTGGCATCCCATATGCGTGCCAGTTCTAGTCCAGGCTGCTCCTTTTCCAATCCAGCTCTCTGCTGTGGCCTAGGAAGGTGGTAGAAGATGGCCCAAATGCCTGTACCCCTGTACCTGCGTGGGAAACCCAGAGGAAGCTCCTGGCTCTTGGCTTCAGATTGGCTCAGCGCTGGCTGTTGTGGCCATTTGGGGAGCGAACCAGCGGATGGAAGACCTTTCTCTCTGTCTCGTTCTCTCTGTCACTGTCTGTAACTCTGCCTCTCAAAGAAGCAAGTAAAATATAAAAAAAAAAAAAGAGGTATATTATTCAAAAGCATTTATTTAACTGCAGAGATTACAGCTCATTTCTCCCAGTGTGTAAGATCTTTAGAAGTTGTTACAAGTGTTATAGATTTTTATATTCTGTTCTTACCAGGTCTGTTGTAGTATCTTGTAGATATGTGATACTGAATACATGGATTTGTGGTTCTCTCTCAGATTCTGGACAGCTCGTTCTTCTTTTTAAACTTTATTTGTTTTTTATTTTTTAAGATTTATTTTATTTATTTGTAAGGCAGAGTTATGGTTGGGGGAAAAGAGAGAGATCTTCCACCTGTTGGTTCAATCCTCTAATGGCCACAACTTCCAGGGCTGGCCCAGGAGCTTCTCCTGGGTCTCCCATGAGGGTGCAGGGTCTCAAGGACTTGGGCCATCCTCCACTGCTTTCCCAGGCACATTAGCAAGGAGCTGTGTGGGAAGTGGAGCAGTCAGACTTGAACCTGTGAGCATATGGGATGCTCCCATGGCAGGCAGTGGTTTTACCTGCTGTGCCACAATGCTGGCCCCAGCTCATTCTTAACACATAGCTTATTTTTGTTAGGCACAACTGTTTTCTTTCTGTAACTATGTTTCTGAGGCTGTTCATCTACCTCAGCTCTCTTTCCATCATCTTTCCAAATTCTGTATTTTTATTTAGAGACCAAATCATGATTACTTTTTAACCTGAATTTTTCTGTCAGTAGTGAGTTTTCACATTATGATGGATTTTGATTTTCCAATTGATACTGGTTTGTATTTTAGTAATAGATCACATATTGTGTTATATAGTGTTTCTTCTTGTTATAAAATCTGACTAACAGAATTACTGAAACTGGTTTTCTATGTAGTTTCTGTGACCAGAATATTCTTTTCATTCCTTATGAACACATTTTATCTTCTCAACATTTTAAAATTAATTTTAAAATCTTCATTTTGAATATCTTCAAATATAGAGAAAAGCGGTTCGATTACCATAGTAAGCACCGATGTACCTTCTGCCCAGCTTCAGTGAATATATTGCTGTATTTGCTGCATCTTTTTCTTTCTGAACGATTTGGAAAGGAGTTCCTTATATCAAGAACTTGACCCCCTAATGTTTTAGCACGTGTTTACTAAGAACATTGTCTTTCATAGCTATCAGACTGTTATACCTAATAAAATCAGAAATAATTTTATGATGTTGTCTAGTATCTTCGTCACGTCAGTTTAATTTGACATATAAATAAGTCCTGAGTAGGAACTCTGGTGTGTGTTTTTGCATATTCCACTCACTAAGCATGTAAAGATGTTTGTGTCAATGGAATGTTTTCGTATATCACCATCTAGGGCATTAAAGAGTTAGAAACAACCCAAAGCACTCTCTCATAGTTGGTGTTCTCAGATGAAGAACATGAGATGTAGAATTGTTCTGGGCAGTGCTATGTCTGGAAGCTAAGTCTCTTATTTTTCACTAGTATTTTTTTTTTTTTTTTTTTTTGACAGGCAGAGTGGACAGTGAGAGAGAGAGACAGAGAGAGAAAGGTCTTCCTTTGCCGCTGGTTTACCCTCCAATGGCCGCCGCTGCAGCCGGCGCACCGCGCTGATCCTGGCAGGAGCCAGGAGCCAGGTGCTTTTCCTGGTCTCCCATGGGGTGCAGGGCCCAAGCACCTGGGCCATCCTCCACTGCACTCCCTGGCCATAGCAGAGAGCTGGCCTGGAAGAGGGGCAACCGGGACAGAATCCGGCGCCCCAACCGGGACTAGAACCCGGTGTGCCGGCGCCGCAAGGTGGAGGATTAGCCTATTGAGCCACGGCGCCGGCTCTAGTATTTTTTTTAATCATTTTCAAAATTTTCTTTCAGAACTTGTGCTTTGTTAAGGTGTATTAATTCTTGGGGCCCATGAACTCCACTGTTTCACTAAGTGGAAGCATTCTTTCCTGTCGGTTTCTATGAATTGTTGTGTGTACATTGGTTTTTAAAAATTGTACTTAGTAAGATTATTCAATTTTCTGTTTATTTTTAAGTTGCTGACTTAAACGTTGTGCTTTATAAATTAGAGATTCTTAATGAATTTTATTGATGATTTTGCTAAACTAACAAATGGTCTTTACCAGTGATTATTTCCTGTATTTCCATCTGTATTTTATAGTTGTTACTTGATCATTAAGATCAAATCTCTTTTAAAAAATTTTATTTGTTACACAAGTTTCGTGTATTTTATATATACAGATTTAGGGACATGGTGATACTTCCCATCTTATACTCCCTCCCACCCATGCTCCAACCCTTCCTCTTCCTCCCTTTCCCATTTGCACTCCTAATGTTTACAAAACTCTACACTAGGTAAAAGAGTTCAACAAATGGTATGAAAACAAAAAAAAAATTATTCCTCAGCAGAGGAGACAAGGGTAAACAATCATTGAATCTCAGAATGTCCATTTCTCTCTAATACATACATTTTAGGTACTCTGTTAGTTACCTTGGATCAGGGAAAGCATATGGTATCTGTCTTTTTGGAACTGACTTATTTCACTAAGTATAATGGTTTCCAGTTGTGTCCTTTTTTTTTTTTTTTTTTTTTTTTTTTTACAGTTAAATAGTACTCCACGGTGTATACCATAATTTGTTTATCTAGTCAACATTTGATGGACATCTGGATTGATTCCATATTTTAGTTATTTTGAATTATGCTGCAATGAACATGGGGGTATAGATAATTAAATAGGTCTTTTAGTCCATTCTCTCTTTCCAGACCTTTGGGAACTTCTAAGACTCATATGTTGGGTCATTAGATAGTATTCCATAAATCTTCAACACTGTTTTGAAGTTTTTTAATTTCTTGTTGTTTTTGGTCTGATTGAAAAATTTCCAATGATTTGTCTTCTAGCTCAGATACTCTTCTGCCTCACCATGTCTGTTATTGAGGCTTTCCATTGCCTTTTTTGTTTGATCTATTGAATTCTTCATTTCTGATATTTTGTTTTGATTTCTCTTTAAAATCTTAATTTCCTGGGAAAAATTTTCATTCACGTCAGGTATGGTTTTCTTTAGTTCGTGGATTTGCTTCTGATTGCTTTTGAGTAATCCTATGATTGATTTTTTGAACTCTGTTTCCGGCATTTCATCAGTGTCTTTGTCTTCACATGGTGTCTTTCTTGTTTTTATTTCTTGAATTTATTTATGTATTTTTAGGTATTTGTGGAGTTACTTGTTGTTTTTTTCCTCTGAAGGATCTAGCTTTCAAATGTTCCTCTGTGGCTTAGAGAAATGTCTGCACTTTCAGTGAATACCAAGAAGTGTATGGTGGGTGTGGCCAGGGAGCTCTGATCAGTGCTCCAGGGTGGGTGTGGTAGATCTCTTGTTAACAGAAGGGGGAGAATGGTCACTTCTGTTGGTGTGATCACTCTTTCACCTCCTCTCCTCCAAGCTGCGTAATGCCCAGGTGTTAGCCTGCAGTGGTTTCTACACTCATCTGTGCTGCCTCTAAACCACACAAATGATCTGATCTGCGCAGTCCTCACTCTGAGCATGGGTCCTGTTGCAGTGATCTGCCCCATGCAGCCAAGGTGCTCCGAGCATGTTGAGCTGCACTCAGTGATTGCCCAAAGACCCAGTTACACACTGTACCCTCTGTGGTAGCCACCAAGTCCTCACAGTCTCAGCACACAAGACTCCCCCACTCACTGGGTGCAGAGGATCCAGTCATCAGAGTGGTAAATCTTCTCTGAGCTAGCTCTGCCTAGGCGGCTTGAGCCCCAGAGCCTGTAGTATTTGGGAGGCTGGGCATGCGTCACAGTCCTATGTGGGTGCCCAGCTAGCTGCCTGTCAATCCACCCAGCCAGGCTCAAAGTCAGTGGGGACTGCGGATTTTCCTCTCCTGTAGAATCTCTGGATCACCTGCATATGCAAGAACCACTGGCCGAATGTTGCCCTCTCCCTGCTGAGAAGATGTCGTCATTTTTCATCCAGTTGCTATGCGTGTGCACAAAGGATTCTGCAGCTTCTACCAAAGGCCAATATGGTGCCCGCCCTTTCTCTGCCAGGCAGTGCTTGCCATTGTGGGGAGGATAGGGGGAGATAAATGTGCCCCTTTTACTTCACTTCATCTAGCCCCTAGGACTCCAGTCCAGACTCATGCCACGCTCTTCCTCTGCTATATCACCATGTGTTGCTGCAGTCTGGTCTCACCTCCATCTCCAGGCTGCTGCAGTCATGGTTGTTTCTGTGTTTGTTCTGCAGTTCACACCCTCCACACAGATCCATGGCATTCCTCTTCCTTGTGTAGGATTTCTCTTTAAAATAGGCTTTTAAAGATATAAAAGTTAAATGGTGCTGGCATTGTAGCATAGTGGGTTAAGCTGCTGGCATCCGATATGGGCGCTTGTTTGAGTCCTGGCTTCTCCAATTCTGATCCAGTTTCCTTAGGCCCCTGCACCCACGTGGGAAACCAGGAAGAAGCTCCTGCATCCTGGCTTCCGACCAGCCTAGCCCCATCTGTTGCAGCCATTTGGGGAATGCACCAATGGATGGAAGATCTCTCTTTGTCTCTCACTCTTTCTCTTTGTAACTCTGCCTTTCAAATAAATAAAATAGATTTTTAAAAATAAATAACTAAATGGATGTATAAAAATTCAAAAAAACAATATGACTTTTTTTTCTACTTTTGTTCCATAGAATTCTAATTTATATCCATGACATGTTCAAGCTTGTTTATGAAGAGAGAGTTTGCTAAATAGAAAAATAAAGATTATAAAGATGGTTGTTTAGCCACTGTGTACAACTATTATAGTGATGATTGACTTTTTTGATAACAGAATGTTCTGTATTTTTTCCAGTTACTATTATAGAATATTAATTTATAATGTTTCTCACATTTTATGGGCTTTTGTGTTCAAGAAGTTCTATTTAATAAACATTTAATTTCCTAAAGTAAAAGTAGCCATATCTTGAATTAAAAATTTTGTGTAATACAAAAATTTTTGAGTAGTGTACAATGGTTATTGTAGTCTCTGAAAAAATAAAATTTCTGTATTTTTGACTGATGTATTTTCTTTCTTACCACAGTAAATCAAGAGGAGTTCATTGCTATTATGACGGGTGACATTTAAAGAATTACAAGGATAAACACATGAGAATGTTGCAGTTACCATCTTGTATTCTATTTCTATGCCTGGAGCCACGTTTAAAAAATCTGTTTTTCTTTTTCTTTTTTCCAGAAGGACCAAAAAATAAGAAATGTTATGTATTTCTGTTTTATTACTGTTAAGTTTCTTTATAGGAACAACATTGTTAATATGCAGTAATTTAGCTTTGTATTTATAATATAGCTTTTATATAAAGTTTTAAAGGATCAAATCATGTGGTACACATTCTTTGAAATTTTTTTATTTCATATTAGTAGTGACTTTATTTTGGTGCACACAGTTTCAGACTTCTATTAATAAAATGTTTATTAGTATTTTAAAAGTTTGGTAAATTTCCTGTCTTATTTTGATTTCTAAGTTCTATTAACTCTCATATCTATTTTTAAGTCTTTTCTCTTTACATTTTTCTAGTTTATGAAACAAAAGTTGAATTACAACTATCAGTAAGATTTCATGAGGTTTAATAATTTATGTTTTAGTACAAGATTACTGAACATAGGCCTAATTACATTTTTAAAAAAGCTTTTATTTAAGTTATACAAGTTTCATGTATTTCATGTATTCAGATTTAGGAACATATTGATACTTCCTACCCTGTACTCCCTCCTGCCCATGCTCCAACCCTTCTCCCTTCTCCCTTCTCCCTCTCCCGTTCCCACTCTTATTTTTTACAAAGATCTACTTTTAAGTTTACTTAATGATTGTAGATTTACCCCTACATTAAATAAGAGTTCAACAAATAGTATTAAGGAGAAAAAAGCACTCTAGACAATCATTGAATCTCAAAATGTTCATTTCTTTCTAATACATTACATTTTAAGTACTCTATTAGTTACCTCAGATCAGGGAAAACATATGGTATCTGTCTTTTTGGGACTGGCTTATTTCACTAAGTATAATTGTTTCCAGTTGCGTCAATTTTATGCAAATGATAGGATTTCTTTCTCTCTCTTTTTTTTTTTTTTTTACAGCTTAGTAGTACTCCATGGTGAATATATGTCTTTATCATGTCTTAGTTATTATAAATTGTGCTGCAGTGAACATGAGGGTACATATAACTCTTTCATATCCTGAATTCTTTTAGTTTGTATGAGTTCCCAGGAGTAGGATGGCAGGGTCATATGGTAGGTCTACATTCAGATTTTTGAGGTATCTTTGTAACAGTGGCTGCACCAGTTTATATTCCCACCAACAGTGGATTAGGGTACCTTTTCCCCAATATCCTTGCCAGCATTTGTTGTTTGTTGATTTCTATATGAGAGTCATTCTAACTGGGGTGAGGTGAAACTTCACTGTGGTTTTGATTTGCATTTCCCTGATGGCTAGAGATCTGGAACATTTTTTAAATGCTGTGGGCCATTTGAATTTCCTCTCTTGAAAAATGCCTGTTCAAGTCTTTTGCCCATTTCTTAACTGGCTTGTTTGTTTTTGTTATTGAATTTCTTGAGCTCTTTGTAGATTCTGGATGTTAACCCTTTATCAATTGCTAGTTTGCAAATATTTTCTCCCATTCTGTCGGTTGCCTCTTCACTTTGCTGAGTGTTTCTTTTGCAGTGCAGAAGCTTCTCTGCTTGATGTAATCTGATTTGTCAGTTTTGGTTTTTGATTGCCTGTGCTTCTGGGGATTTTTCCAAGAAGTCTTAGCCTGTGCCAATGTCTTGCAGAGTTTCCCCAATGTTTTGTAGTGATTTGATGGTATCAGGTCATAGATTTAGGTCTTTGATCCATTTTGAGTGGATTTTTGTGTAAGGTAAAAATAGGGGTCTAGTTTCATTATTCTGCATGTGCAGATCCAGTTTCCGCATCACCATTTGTTGAAGAGACTGTGCTCCAAAGATTGATTTTAGCTCCTTTTCAAAAATAAATTGATTGTAGATATGTGGATTGATTTCTGGATTTTTTGTTCTGTTCCTTTGGTCTAAATGTCTGTTTTTGTACCAGTACCAGGATGTTTTGATTATAAGTGCTCAATAGTTTGCTTGAAATCTGGTATTTTGATGTCTCCAGCTTTTTTTTATTGTATAAGGTTGCCTTGGCTACCTCATGTCTTTCCATATGAATTTTAACATTATTTTTTCTCGAGTTGAGAATGATATCATTGGTATTTTGATTAGGATTGCATTGAATCTGTAAATTGCTTTTGGTAGTATGGACATTTTGATGATATTGATTCTTCCAATCCATGAACACAGGATTTTTCCATTTTTGTATGTCTTCTTGAGAAGTTATTTCTTCCTTTAGTGCTTTGTAACTTTCATTGTAGAAATCTATGATATCCTTGGTTAAATTTATTCCAAGGTATTGAATTTTTTTGTAGTTATTGTGAATGGAATTGATCTTAAAAGTTCTTTTGCAGTCATGGCATTATCTGTGTATACAAAGGCTATTGTTTTTTTGTGTGTGTTGATTTTATATCCTGCTACTTTACAAAACTCTTCTATGAGTTCCAGTAGTCTCTTGGTAGAGTCTTTTGGATCCCCTATGTATAGAATCATGACATCTGCAAATAGGGACACTTTAACTTCTTTCTTTCTAATTTATATCCCTTTGATTTATTTCTCTTTTTTTGTGTGTAATAGTTCTGGCTAAAACTTCTAGGACTGTATTAAATAACAATGGTAAGAGTGGTGGGCATCCTTGTCTGGCTCTGGATCTTAGGGGGAATGCTTCCAGCTTTTCCCCATTCAATAGGAAAGCTGGCTGTGGGTTTGTCATAAGTAGCTTTGATTGTGTTGAGGAATGTTCCTTCTCTACACAGTCCACGCAGTCTTAGCACACAAGGCTCCCACAGTCACTGGGTGCAGTTTCCCCTCTGCCCTGCCAGCCTATCCAGTCATCAGAGAGGTAAATGTTCCCTGAGACCCGGAGCCCGTGGTATGTTGGGAGACTGGGAAGCCTCACAGTCCTAAATGGGTGCCCAGACATCTGTCAGTCCTCCCAGCCTGGCTGTAAGTCAGTGGGGACTGTAGATCTTCCCTCCTCTAGAATCTGCATTACCTGCATATACAGGAGCCACTGGCCAGATGTTGCCTTCTCCCCGCCACAGTCGCAGTACTGCTGAGAAGATGGCGACCTGTCTTAGCCAGTTGCTGTGTGTGCACACAAAGGCTTCTGAAGCTTCCACCAAAGCCCAAAATGACACTTGGTTTTTCTGTACCAGGCAGTGGGCGACGTTGTGGGGAGAATGGGGTGAGATAAATATGCCCCTTTTACTTCTACTGGGTCTGTGGGTAATTGGTAGCCCTTAGGGCCCCAGACTGGACTCATGCCATGCCCCTCCTGTAGCTGTTCCTCCATGGGTTGCTGCAGTTTGGTCTCACCTCCCCCTCCAAGCGGCTGCCCGCTCCGGCTCTCGGCTGCTGCAATCATGTCTGTGTTCATGCTGTGTGTCCACACTTTCCACACAAGTGCATGGCATTCTTCTCCTTTTTGTGGTTTCCAGTGTGGTTTTCTCTCTAATTCTCCCCTGAGAGTGCACTTCCTACACCTTTTTTTCTTTCTATTTATCAGCCTAGCACAGTATGTTGTTCCCTAACCCACCATCTTGGAGTCTCTCTAATTCCTTTTTGAAGAGTCATATCTTACAGTTTGGAGGCAATAGGAGGCAATAGGGTACATGTAGACCTATGTATCCTATGTCTCTTAACTCTTCTGGTGTCTTCATGTAGTATGACAGTTAAATCTGAATAGTTCCCCTCTAAGGTATTTGAATGGATACAGTTTGGATCATATAACCTCTTGATAAAATGAAAGTCTTAAATTTTGGAACTTTGATCTATGAAGATATTTGTCACTCAATTAAACGTCACAATGAGGAAAATAGAAAATCGTATGTCACAGAAATAATTTAAGGCTGCATTTTCCCTTATGAAGGAATATTCTGTGATTCATCAGGAAACAGTCAAGACAGATTTCATAGGTATTGGTAGGCTCTTCTGACTTATAGAAATGTAAATTGGGGTTGGGGGTAACAAGCAGTTTTGGGAAATAGGTCTTAGAATAATAGAAGTTATACCAATCCTTCAGTAATAACCAATTCCATTGGTATGGGCTCTGTCAGGAAGAGAATTGAGTTGACCAAGTGCTCTTTCTTTATACTTGTTTTAAATTCAATAAAATTAGAAGCAATTTAAATGTTTTAAGACTCCTAGAATACTACATTAAGAGTTGTAAGGAATAATATAATAGTAGGGACATTTCAAAGTTATCTAGAAAGCAAGTTAATTGTCCACCTAGAGTAAAACTTAATTTTGAATATGAAGTCAGTGTTCATAGTAGTAACAAGTACTTAAGACAACCAGTATACTTTGAAATTCAAAAATTTCTGTGACCCGTCCTGGTGAATTACCTTCTGTTTCTCGATCATGAAATATATTGATCTCCAGGAAAGTGTAGAATAAAACATAAAAAAAAAAATTGAAACTTGCTAGTTGTATACTTTATTGGAGCAATAACTCAAGCTACTTTTTGTCATTTATAAAGTTGTCTTTGCTGATAATTTAAATACTGTTTCCTTGGGATACCAATAATTTGTTTACTTTGAGTTAGCAAAGAGTGCTCACCTTTGTGGAAGCTTTGTCTTAGAGTAGGATATGAATTATTCTCAACTTTTTATCAGTGTTAATAATTATCACATTGGGCCAGCGCCGCAGCTCAATAGGCTAATCCTCTGCCTGCGGCGCCGGCACACTGGGTTCTAGTCCCGGTCTGGGTGCCGGATTCTGTCCCGTTTGCCCCTCTTCCAGTTCAGCTCTCTGCTGTGGCCCGAGAGTGCAGTGGAGGATGGCCCAGGTCCTTGGGCTCTGCACCCGCATGGGAGACCAGGAGAAGCACCTAGCTTCTGGATCAGTGCGGTGTGCTGGCCGTGGCGGCCATTGGAGGGTGAACCAATGGT